AGGCCATTAAGGTCTTCCAGCTATCTACCCTGCACTTAGGTGGAGAAGAGGTAGGATTTCCTCAAGGATAACCTTACAGCTCTCTATTGGAGACCAGGAACGGTAGCTCTGCATTGCTGGAACACAAAGCTCGTATCTGGCACAGGAAAAGCTCCCAGCATGAGGCCCCACCACTGGGCACTGCTAATGGGTGCAATCTTTTCCATACCCATTTTAAAAGCATGTTAAGATAACAATTTCTCACCTTTGGAATCTTAGAAAGCAGATTCATCCCAGTAGTAAATAAAGCATGGAACTTAGTAGGTAAAAAAAGGTTTTAAAAGTAAATACAATGTTTTTTTCAAAACTTCTCTAGCTTTTTCTCTGGATTTCTGTAAGATACGTGACACATCCAGTGTACATGCTGTGGGCTGAAACAGATACCTCACTGTCATTTGTACAGATGGCCTATACAAATCATGCAGAAGGCACACTAACACCCTCTCAAAAATCTCTTTTGTTTTTTCTTTCTTATCAGTAGGTGTGGTTGCATTCATATCTATACATATGTATACGTACACATATATATGTCTATGTGTACATATACATATACAGAAAAAGGAGAGAGGACTGACTCCTGAAAGAGCAGATTATGTCTGCCTATGTGTGTGTATTTTTGCATTTATACACATATACGTATATGTATGTACATATATATAGACAGATATACACACACGTATATGTATATGTACACATACAAACACATATGAAAGTGTAAATACCTACACACACAAATATACATATTTTGCTCTTCAGGAGTCAATCCACTCATTTCTGTAGATAAACAGAGCACAACAGTAAACTAGAAAAATAACATTTAAATAAAATAGTTGCACTCTTTCAATTATATAAAGTTAATGTAACTTGACTGCTAACTCTATTTATCTCTGTTATGACAATTAATCTGGTCCTAAAGTCTCCCTTGTTGTAATGCTTGCCTCAGAAAAGAATAGGAGGATGGTCTATAAATCACAAAGCTGGTGCAGTGTAGACAATATCAACACTGAGTGTGACAAGGAACTCAGAGCTAAGGAAGTAAAAAGAAATATATTAATCATTGATAAAATTTACATAAGAAAACAAAAATAAACAAAAGATCAATTATTTTGATTCCAATGGGACTGTAAAATGTGGAGAAAATAAGTCATATAGAATGTTCCAATAAAAAAGAATACTGAATATACTATATATAAAATACAACAAACTCTGCATTGCTTCCCCACTGAGGATGTTAAAATCTACAACTGTTGCTAGGTAATCTTGCCTATGAAATAATTACCCTAACCAAAAAGTCATGTGCAATAATACTCAATAACAACAAAAAGGGAAAATGCATCAGAATAGCTACTTTCAAATATACTCTACTTTAGCTGTTCCAAGATCCTCTTTTGTACACACTAGTCTTGAAACAAAATCACTTAATTCTGGGACAGTCTGTGTGCTTTCAAGGCAGAGCTCCTTTCTTGTAATAAATTTACTTTAATCCAGAATCTAGTATCTACCCACAGACTTTTTCTGGAATGGCTTCCAGTAAATTTTTCTGTGAATAGAAATTTTACATCAAGTACTTTTGTGAAAAATGTTATGAAATGTACTCAGGAAGAGTTCTGTGTAAGTTACACAAAACATAGTAAAACCAAGCATAGTTATTGCTTTACTCTAGTCTTCTGCTAACTGGCAGTCTAGCTTTGATTTATCTCAGACATCTGCAGTTCTGCTATTCTAGCTGAAAAATAGTGATTATCTCATAAATACTCCTCAATGGAACGAGCTTAAGCACCTGTTTAAGTACTTTGCTAATACCTGGCTTCAGCTAGCAAATTGGAGCAATAAGCAATCACGGTTATGATATCGACTGCATTTTGCCATGCTGTTTAGTACCCTGATTCCATAATATTTTCATTTCCTACCCTCACTAATTAGCTAGGATTCAGATATCACAACTGGGCAGTCCTATTCAGGATTTAGAAAAAGATAATTTAAGGAGAAAGATGCCTTGTGGGACAGTCTTTAATATATTTCACTATTTCTCATGCTTTTTAAACATGCCACAAAGCAGGGTGTATTTCAAATTTTTTCAACTCTATCAGTACGGCTTTCCAGCTAAAACTTTTTTTTCCTTTCTCTTCCTTACAGAAACAGCAGAAGGTTCTCCTCTATTGTGGAGGTGATGACTCTTCTTCTCCTAATATTGCTCCTCTGTTTTTTGTGTCCCCTCTATAATTTATTTCTACACTTATCTAACTTTCTGTGACAATCAAGGGTTTCCAATGATCTTCTGTCCTTATGGCCCATAATTCTATTAAGGAAAACAGAGTCTTTCTATGAATTGTTGGTCAATTAGTTTCGTCTTAAGGATAGCTGGCATGAATGGATTTTTCCCCTTTTTGGAACAAGGTGATAAAATTTGGTTGTGTTTATATGCATTTTTCTGCTGAGTTCATTGAGGCCCAGAATTCATTCTAGGGACCTTAAAGCCTGATTGGCCTGAAAAACCAATCATTTAATGGTGATAAGGTAGAGTTTTTAATTACCAAAGTTCAAGGTATAAGTTTCATTGCCAACACCAAAAACAGCACAGAGTCATTCTCCCTGTAGCTTCCACGGCTGACATCAACAGTACTGAGGAAAAGGTAAAGTATGACTTTGGAAAGTACAGAAAGGCATGCGACATCTTTATTTTAAATCATTTTGTGCTATTTAAGCAAAATGAGATTGAAAATATCTCATAGATATAAGGTTCCTTACAGCTCCACACCTTCTCCAGACCCTGGGCCACATACAAGTTCCAAATGTGGGAACTGGAAACTTGGCTGTTTCAGAGCCGTGCTACCACCTTCCACTGGAGCCTTGACCAAGTCATGTGTTAACTGTCCTGCCTTGCCTGGTCTGTAAAATGGGAACAATTTTGTTCACTGGCCCATTTAACGGGGCCACTGTAAAATTTGCTTACTTAATGTCTCTGAAGAGACTAAAAACAGAAACAAGAAGGATTAGGAGAATAATGAGATTCATTCAGCATTGCTTTATTTGGGTAGCCAGCTGGCTGATTCCTAGGGTGGCAGTAAGAGGTTGGCCCATTTGGCAAAAGCTAATGTTATTTATATTTGTCTCACACTGAAAATTAATGTCCCCAAGGCTTGGGTTTCAGGCTAAGCAGTCTGTACTCCATATCACAAAGCCAGCAAACACCGACACCACCAGCTCTTCACACCTCTAGGTAAGAGCAAATACAAAAGCCATTGTGGGGGAGCAAAAGGGGACTGGGGGGAAGGCGATACAAGAAGAAATGTTTCAGAAGATGCAGAGCTATCGTTTGGATAGGATCCCTATGACCTCATGACATCACATGGGGTATGTTAAATTAGATGGTCTAAATAAGACAACACATTAACAGACTAGGCAGTGTTTTGGAAGCCACAGAGCTCTGAATCCAGTTCTTCTACTTACTAACTGGGTGGCCTGTGCAAAACATTTCATTTTTTTGGGTCCACCTTTTCAATCTGTAAAAGGGAACTATAACTACCTCATGAGACCTGGGCAGTACCGCTGGGTAATGTTTGTACAAAACTTAAAAGGAAAAAAAAAAAGTACATGTTGCATAACTGCTATTGGCTTTGTTAACTTAAATCACCAGGCAGCTGTCCCTCAGCTAGTCAAGTTCATTTTTAATCTCTGACTTGTCCCTCTGTCACTGCTTTCATGAAGAAAAAAGGCTCACTGTTTCACTCCATGCCCAGTTTTACTATTACCTGGATGCTTCCTCCAATATAAAAATTAACATATGAGTAACAGAAAATGCCAGTGTAATGACAAAGGTTCATTTCTATCTTATACTCTAATTAAAACAATTCTATGTTCCATTGATGACATTTATCTATGTAGAGTTTTATCTGCAGATGCAGTCTTTGTACAATCTCGGAGGATCTCACATGGCAAACAATTAAACAACAGCTGTGAAAACATCTAGAGCATTTTACAATTATTCTTATACAAAGATCTTTAAATACTTTATAAGCATGAAGATTATTATTCGTACTGGTGGGGAAACTGAGGCACGGCTAAACTAAGTGACACGGCCATGGCTGCACAGAGAGTTAGTGGCAGAGCAGAGAGACAGCAGCGCCTGAATCTCGTGAGCCCTTAGCCCCGACTTGAAAGTACTGCTCCTTTCCGCTTATACTTCTCCCATCAAACTTAACATCAAATAGGAGACAGTCTGCACGGCACAGAGTCGCTGCCTTCCCTTCTCCGTTGACAACAGGGGTGTTCATCACAGCTTGCCCACCCCAACCTGCCAGTCCCCGTCCCCTGTACCCACCTGCTTGTAGGCGTCCAGGAGGAAGCTGTTCCAGACGCAGCGCAGCCCCTCCGAGGTCAGCATCCTCCGCCACTCACCGCGCCCAGACTTAGACCGGCTCAGAAATAGCACCATGTGCTTCAGGAGGATCACAGAGTCATACAGCGCAAGGAAGAGGCAATTGGAGAAAAAGACCGGCAAGATCTGAAGCGTGATCAGCAAATCCACACTTAGCAGACCCATCTTCCTTGCTGCCTCTCTTCAGCCGGATGGATGCCTTCAGCTCCCTTTTTTGCTCTGTACCCTCATTTAAAAAAGTAAAATAAAAAGCATTTCAAAAGCCTCGTTACCCCTTTCTCAGCCACTCTCTTTAAAATGAGCAGAGATAGTTAAATATGAGCAGGCTGGTTAAAACCATAACTGCATGATACTCATTCAACTCGGAGCTGCTTATTTTTCAGAAACGAGGATGTTAACAGAAATTCTTCCCTTAACCAGGAGACCTGATTTTGTTGAAGAGAGAGGCAGCTGTGTTTCCAGTTCCCTGCAGTTACAAAATTTAAGCTGAGACTGTTAATTGTTAACTTTCCTGCACTATCCCATTGTTTCTCAGCTATTTAAGCACTGAACAGACCTCTCATTTCTGTGTCAGTAAAGCTAGCTACCAGGTGCAACAATACTTTTTTTAAAAAAGGTTTATGTACATAAACTTTCTGTTCCTTCCTCCCTCCCTCTCTCCCTCCCTCCCTTTCCCTCTCCCTCTCTCCCTCCCCCCCTCCCCC